CTACCGCTGCGGCAGATGCTTGAGTCTTGGGGGATGGCTCGACGGGCCTCATTTCTGCATCAACGGTGTTATCGCGGGCTGTTCTATGGCCACTACCCTCATTCGTGCTTACTGTGCTGAAGGGTACGATTCGATTTCGCTGCCCATGGGCACGGACCTGGACGTTTATATTGACGACCAGGGGCTCCCGGCCACGGGGAAGTCTCGGTTTGTCGTCTCGTCCATTGCCGCTGGAGCTAGATTTCTCGACCAGGTCGTCCAACAAGAATTCGGTTGTTCGTTCGCCCTCGACAAGACGGCTCTGGTTGCCAGTTCCAAGGCTGTGGGGTCCCAGGTCCTCGAGCAGCTCAGCCACCTGTGTCAAAATTGCTCGCCGTCCGCGGTCAACCTCGGGTTTGACTACTCTGCGGGCAGGGCTCTGCGCGTTGCTGGTAAGTCGGCCAAGATGAAGTCTCGCTTGGCGAAGTCTGCCCGTGCTGCGCGCCGCCTCGGCAAGCAAGCTAAGGTGATTCCGGGGCCCTTAGCTGGCCCCTTAGCTGGGGCTGCGCACGGCACTGAGGTCACGGGCATAAGCGATCACGACCTTAGCTTGCTACGCCGCAGGATTTTTAATCTATATTTTGTGTTTCCTGTTGTGCGCCCTCGCAGCCAGCTGAGGTCTCTGACGACTTGCGCGCTGTTGGACGGAGATCCGGCTTGACGCACTGCGACTGCCCCGATCACCAGGTGGAGCAAGGAGGTCTGGATACGTCAAACTGCGTCCTATCCCTGGTCCCTCAGTCTTCCGTCCCTCAACGCGGCCTGGAGATCGGTGTTTTCTAAGGATAGGTGTTCCTGGCGGCTTGTGTCTGGGCCTGCCACGGCCCTCCGCATGTCCCTCGTGCGGCTTGGCTGGAAGATGAGGGATTTCATGGCCCTGGTTGATGACCTTGGTCGGTTTATTCCCTTGGGTTTGTTTTCCCCCGCCCCGGTCAGGCCCCTGGTCCGTGAGGGATATTTCCGCATGCTTGAGCGTGACTCTGCGGCCAAACGAGGGATCCCTTCTAGGATTTGTTACGACGTGGTTCGCCAGGCTGTGTTGCCCAGCTCCAAAAAGTACACGGCCCTGCAGAAGGCCAGGATTCGGGCTTTCGCCACCGAGGCCTTTTTCACGGCTGCTAAGGCGGAGGAGTTTGGATATTGCATCTTCCCCGACTGTGCCTTCTGTGGTGCCCGTGACGCCGTTTTCCACCGTTTGATGGAGTGCCAGCACACTGAGGTTCTGGAGGCCCGTTTGGAGGCTGTGGAGCAGGAGGCCATTGATGCTGCACTGGCCGCTAAGGCTTCGGGGGACCTCGAAGACTACTTCGTCTTTCTCTCTGGAGCCTTTCGGCATCCCGCCGACGGTTACCCCAGGCCTGCTGTGGAGTCTGATGGTGGTCTGTTCCTCACGTTGCATGCCCCTCCCGTCTCTGCCCCAGATAGCGGGCCCATTACCAGCCGTGTCGGGGGCGCTTTGTTTGTGGACGGGTCCTGTGCTCGTCATGCCGTTCGTGAGCTCACGCGTGCTTCTAGCTCTGTCTGCATGGTTGACTCCGATGGGACTCTTGTGGCTGAGTTTAGAGCCCTTGTCTGGGGCCCCTGCCCTCAGACCCCCCAGAGCGCTGAGTTCAGTGCGTTCACGTGGGCTAACGTTTTGGCTACAAGCCCCTCTGAATGTCATGTTCGGCTTGCTGGTCGTCCGAAGCCTGAGCAACTGTCAGGCAAAAAGATGTATGCTTGCGCCTTTTTTGCAGTGCCACGGTCAGCGTTCTTCGGTCGCGGGTTGCTCTAAAGTCGCTGCCCACCAGGACATTGAAGACCCAACCATTGACGCTACTGAGAGGTGGCGTCGCGTCGGCAACAATTTTGCGGATGTAGGCGCAAACATGGCCCTTCTCCTTCACCCGTCTGATCAAGGCTTGCTTCTGGATGCTGATCTCCAGGTCAATGGTAAGGCTACCCTTAAAGTTGCCAGCGCGGTACTTCAGTTGTGGCCCTCGGTTGATTTGTCGTCTGTTGGGCGGATCCAGCCACCTCCTATCTTAGCCAGTGCCGTTGCGGGCCATCGTTGGGCTCGCTGGTCTGGCATTTGGAGGTGCTCGGTGTGTCTCAAAGGATGTCGGGCCCAGGTCCCGCCCACCAAAGGTAGGTGCCCTCTGGACAGCAAGCTTCACGCTGCCCACCAGGATCGCCTTGGCCGCACGACCTTGGCTTTCGAATGTTCCGGCCAGCCTTTCCTTTTTTATTTGCTTGCGGTGCAAAAGCTACTCGTCTGGTGGTAAAGTCGGAGGATTGGCGGAGCGCTGTGTTCCCCCGACTCGAGCTGGCAGACTTGCTTGGGTACAGGTTTGTAAAGGCAAGCGCCCTCACTACGCTCGTCGTGAGCTCGGTGTTTCGGTGGATGTTGATGCGCTTGTGGAATGTTTCAACAGGCCAGGCTTCGATGAACAGGTTGATTTACAGCCCCTGGCGCAGCCCGCTTCTGGGGCTGAGGACCCCCCCAGCCCACAGGTGGCTTGTGAGTCCTCAAAGGTTCATGAGGGGGAATTCACACGTTCTAAAGAGTGTGACACGGCTGTGTCCGCTGGCCTCTTGGCCAGACTGCCTCCTTCTTCCTCCTCTGGTGTGGAGCGGGGGGTGGGGTCTGGGCGGGAAGGTGCGGGAAATTGGGATACTCTCTTTGGTGCTTTGGAGGAGGCGTCTAGCTTCCTTTTCGAGCGAACAGCTTGCGTTTCTGGTGCTGCTCGTACTGTGCCTGATGACGAGGCCCCTCAGCAGGAGATGAGGCAGGGACCCCATCAGGAGCTGAGACGGGACAAGCCCTCTTTCCTGGCGAGGCGTCGACGGGATGAGTCGGACAGTTTGGATTAATGCTTCTTTGGCGCAGGGACGCCCTTTCCTATTTCTTCTCTCTAGCACGGCCCGATGCGTCTGACCCTTTTGGCAGGCATCCGTGCTATACCCCACATGTGGGGCGAGGTTGGCAGTCGTCCTGGCGCTGGTTGCACCAGGGACTGCTGGCCTCGTCGTCATTGTGTGGGTGGTCGTGTATTTCCTCTGGCGTGGGTACGCCTTTTCTTTTCGTTCATTACAGCACGGCCCGATGCGACTGATCTTTTCGGCAGGCATCCGTGTTTTACCCCACGTCTGGGGCGAGGCCGACGGTCGTCCTGGCGCTGGCTGCACCAGGGGCTGCGGGCTCGTCGTCCTTGTGTGGGTGGTCGATTTGTTTCCTTGGTGTTTATAGTTTGTGTGCTGTCTCGTAGTGCGTGCGTCCTTCGTGCACGTGTGTCAGGCGCCCCGCTTCAGGGGGAAGGTACGTGCACATCCAGGGTGCGCTTCTTTCTTTCTCCGAGCACGGGGGTGGCCCCATCCCGACTGTGGCTCGGGTTTTGGTGTTGCCGCGGCCAGGAGCCTGGGGCTCTTGGCCCCAACATCTCTCCTCTGTTTGCGTTGTGCAGGCGTACCCGTGCGTATGTGCGTTCGCTCGCCTCGCGTTTTCGGCTCTCCGCCGCTGGGGGCTGTCTCGGCACTCGTGGCGGGGTGCTGTCTTGACCGATGTTCCTCTTGCACAGCCGAGGGCAGTCGGTCCGAGATGCCTTTTCCATTTGCAGAACCCCTGCATCTGGTCTTGTCTTTGCGCTTGCAGCTCGGCGTCCGTTTTGTTGCCCTGTGTGCCTGCCCCTCTCATAGAGATGTTGCGGCAGGTGCACCTTGTGCTGGTTCGACAGGACGCAGAGACCCCTTTGGTCTCTCGAGCTGGTTTCACTTGCGCTGATGACTCAGGTTATTGGTTTGTGTCAGGGAGCCAGCATCCCCCTCCGCTGCTGGCTCTGGTCCTCGGATTTACCCGAGGATGTGGAGGTGTGACGCGGATGTCTTTAAAATAAACAAAGAATTACGTAAGTACATATATATATATACATACATACATATATATATATAAAAATAAATAACAAAACTCCTCCTCCTCCTCCTCCTCCTCCTCCTCCTTCCTGCTCCTCGTCCTCTTACTCCTCCTCCTCCTCCTCCCTTCCGCACCCCCTCCCCCTCCCAGGACAGAGGAGAGGAGAGAGGGTAGTGGAGGGAGGAGGGATCGACGCGGTGGTGGTGTATATTCTTGGGGCCCGCCCCCCCCCCCTCCTTCCTCGCAGAAGGAGCCTGCATAAACGCGTCGCGGTGACCTTGGGGCGAATCCTTCCAGCTTCCAGGGGCCTGCGCAGGCCCAACACTGGCGGCCAGGGGGGGGGGGAAGTGAGCAGGAAAAGGCCTTCTCAGATGGCTGAGAAGTCTTCCGTGTCTTCGGGGAAGGCTTAGACATCTTCTCGGAAAGCCGGGGGACTTCCGAGCCTTCCGAGGTATTCTCCCTCTTTTTCCCCCCAGGCTCGCCGTCGATACAGCCAACGCGCCCTGTGAGGACGCGCGTCTTGTTATCTAGGGTACGCTTTGTGTCCTTGCCTCTGCGGCCCGTCCTCTGCTGCTTTCGCGGGTCGCCCGCCGACCAAAGATCCCAACTTCGGCCTCCAAGGGTCCTGCGTCCTGACCCACCCGTCCTCGATTGTGCAGTCAACCCGTAGAGTAAGGATGCGCGATAAGGATGCAAGGCCCTTGGAAGCCCATTTCGAAGATTCCGAGCCGGGCGCGACCAGCGAAAGTGGCCAAGGATGCAGCGAGGAGGCAAGGATGCACGGTACCCTTGGGAAGGTTGCCCGTCCTCACTGTGCGGGTTGACTGTGTGCCCTCGAACCCCGATCCTCGGCCCCTCTGGCGCTGGGGTCCTCGACCCCTCGCGCCTCGGACCCTCCTCGGCCCTCGATTCGCTGCGCTTCGGACCCTCGAGCCCCGGTCCCTCGAGGCCACTTCGCCTCGGTCCTCGAGTTCCGGTCCTCGATGCTCGATGCTCGATGCTCGAACACCGATCCTCGACCCGAAACGTCGAGCCTCGATCCCCGCGGTCGTCCCCCCCGCCCCCCCGGCAGGAGCCCGCGGTGGAGCAGCGCGGCGCGCCGCCGGAGTTCCACATGGAGGACGAGAGAGCCCGGGCTCGAGGGAGGAGGAGGAGGGCGAGGGGGGAGCGGGAGGGGGAGGGGGGAGGGGGGAGGGGGAGGGGAGGGGGGGGGGGAGGGGGAGGGGGGGGAGGGGGAGGCGGAGGAGGCGGAGGAGGAGGAGGATGAGGAGGAGGAGGAGGAGGAGGACGAGGGGATGCGGATGGGGAGGGGGAGGAGGGGGAGGGGAGGGGAGGAGGAGGAGGAGGAGGAGGAGGAGGAGGAGTGAGGGGAGGGAAGGGAAGGAAAGACAAGAGGGAGGGCGATGGGGACGAAGGGGGGAGGAGTGGGGAGAGCCACGAAAGCTCAGCCGACGGCGGCTGTGACAACACGACGACGACGACGACGACGACGACGACGACGACGGTGGACGACGGACGATCTGACGGCGGACGGCGGACGACGGACGACGGACGACGGACGACGACGACTAAGACAGACGACGGACGACTGACGACAGACGACAGACGGCGGACGACGGACGACGGCAGCGGGGGGCGGGGAGGGCGGCGGCGATGGCGACCACGACCCCGCCAGCAGGAGGAGGCTTTCCCCGGCCTGCCCGCGGCGGCCCCCGCGAAGCGGGGGAGGCAGGGTGCCCAGCAGGACCAGTCCGCTCGCCGCCGCCAGTCGTCGCCAGCGTCGTCGTCGCCGCCTCCGCCGTGGTCGAGGAGGGCGAGGAGGACGAGGAGGGCGAGGAGGACGAGGAGGACGAGGAGGACGAGGAGGACGAGGAGGACGAGGACGAGGAGGAGGAGGAGGAGGACGAGGACGAGGAGGATGATCGGAGTTCCTGGGCGCTGGGCTTTTTCGGTCCTCCTGGGGGTCGTCGTCGCCCGCCCTGCGAACGAGGGAACAGGGGGAGGAGGGTGGGGCAGGGGAAGTGAAGGGATGAGGAGGAGGAGGAGGAGGAGGAGGAGGAAAAGGAGGAGGAGGAAAAGGAGGAGAAGGAGGAGGAGGAGGAGGAGGAGGAGGAGAAGGAAAAGGAGTATGAGGAGGAGAAGCTGGCGGAGGAGGAGGAGAAGGAGGAGGAGCAGGAGGAGGAGGAGGAGGAGAGGCTGCAGACTGGGGGGGGTCTTATTGAGGGGAGTGACTTGTGTGTATATATATACAGATAGATAGAGAGAGAGAGAGAGAGAAACAAAGAACAATTATGCTAACGGAGTTCCCCACATAAAGAGATTAACGGTTTCGTGGGACCCATTTTCTTGATGCCCTCCTCGCGACGCAGGAGGGGTGGGAGGGGCACGAAACCATGTAAATAGAATGGTATTCCGATACCTTCCTCGCTCAGGCTGGGCCTCCCTGGAGGGGTGGGAGGGGCACGAAACCATGTAAATAGTATGGTATTCCGATACCCTCCTCGCTCAGGCTGGGCCTCCCTGGAGGGGTGGGAGGGGCACGAAACCATGTAAATAGTATGGTATTCCGATACCCTCCTCGCTCAGGCGGGGCCTCCCTGGAGGGGTGGGAGGGGCACGAAACCATGTAAATAGTATGGTATTCCGATACCCTCCTCGCTCAGGCGGGGCCTCCCTGGAGGGGTGGGAGGGGCACGAAACCATGTAAATAGTATGGTTTCCGATTCCTCGCTCATACCCCGATACCCTCGCTCAGGCGGGGCCTCCCTGGAGGGGTGGGAGGGGCACGAAACCATGTAAATAGTATGGTATTCCGATACCCTCCTCGCTCAGGCGGGGCCTCCCTGGAGGGGTGGGAGGGGCACGAAACCATGTAAATAGTATGGTATTCCGATACCCTCCTCGCTCAGGCGGGGCCTCCCTGGAGGGGTGGGAGGGGCACGAAACCATGTAAATAGTATGGTATTCCGATACCCTCCTCGCTCAGGCGGGGCCTCCCTGGAGGGGTGGGAGGGGCACGAAACCATGTAAATAGTATGGTTTTCCGATACCCTCCTCGCTCAGGCGGGGCCTCCCTGGAGGGGTGGGAGGGGCACGAAACCATGTAAATAGTATGGTATTCCGATACCCTCCTCGCTCAGGCGGGGCCTCCCTGGAGGGGTGGGAGGGGCACGAAACCATGTAAATAGTATGGTTTTCCGATACCCTCCTCGCTCAGGCGGGGCCTCCCTGGAGGTGTGGAGGGGTGGGAGGGGCACGAAACCATGTAAATAGTATGGTATTCCGATACCCTCCTCGCTCAGGCGGGGCCTCCCTGGAGGGGTGGGAGGGGCACGAAACCATGTAAATAGTATGGTATTCCGATACCCTCCTCGCTCAGGCGGGGCCTCCCTGGAGGGGTGGGAGGGGCACGAAACCATGTAAATAGTATGGTATTCCGATACCCTCCTCGCTCAGGCGGGGCCTCCCTGGAGGGGTGGGAGGGGCACGAAACCATGTAAATAGTATGGTATTCCGATACCCTCCTCGCTCAGGCGGGGCCTCCCTGGAGGGGTGGGAGGGGCACGAAACCATGTAAATAGTATGGTATTCCGATACCCTCCTCGCTCAGGCGGGGCCTCCCTGGAGGGGTGGGAGGGGCACGAAACCATGTAAATAGTATGGTATTCCGATACCCTCCTCGCTCAGGCGGGGCCTCCCTGGAGGGGTGGGAGGGGCAGTGATATGGTATGGTATGCTATGGTACGCCATGGTATGGTATGGTACGGTATGGTACGTATGGTGTCGTATGGTATGGTATGGTATGGTATGGTATGTGTGGTAGGAACTATGGTATGGTATGGTGTGTGTGGTAGGAATAATATTGTGCTGTATGGAAGATGGAGCGGGAGGTGGGTGGGAAGGAGAGGGTGTTTTGGGAAAACAAGAACCCCACTCAGGATGTGGGGAACAAAACAAACACTAACGACATACATTAAGACAGAAACAGAGAGAGAGAGAGAGGAGAGAGATATGGAGATGGCGTTACACCTTGACATCCGTATACATGCATACATGTATGTGTTTATGTATGCATGTGTGTAAGGGGTAGATAGAGCGGAAGAGAGGGATAGAGAGAGAGAGAAGGTGCGGACGAGAGGGAGAGAGAGAGAGAGAGGGACACACGCAAGCAGGAGACAGGATGAGGAGCAGAATGCCGTTGCGCGGGCGCCGGGCCCGCCCGGGTGGGGGGTCTCCGACGATCCTCGGCCGTCACGCGAGGCGGGACGCGGCAGGGACGGGGCGAGGCTTAAGTCGGGCCTGTCCTTCTACAGGGGGAGTCTCCAAAAATAGTCAACAATAGTCTGGGGACGATTCTTTGAGAATGTTTGGGCATCTTGTGATTATGTTCGGAGTATTTTCTTATTCTTCGTCCAAAATCCCCCTGTAGGGAGACGGGCCCGACCTAAGATTTGCCATCGGGGGCACATCGCCGATCCATCGGCGACGTAGCGCCGATGTCAGGTCGATGCTGCCCCCCCCTGTGCCAGTCCCCCCCTCTCCTCAGGGATGGGGTCCTAAGGCCACCGAGCGCGTTCCACCACTCGCAGAGTGCCTGCTCGCGAGCGTTCGAAAGAAAAGCACGCGCTGGCCTCGTGGTAGTGGGCCGTAATTAACTCTTCCTGGCGGGTGCAGGCCAGGCGAGGCGGCCGGCGCACGGCCGGGGGGGCGGCGGAGGGCGCCCGGCCGGCCGTCCGCAGGAGCGGCGGCGGTGCAGGCAGGCCGCCGGCGCGTCTTCGGCGGACCAGCCGGGAGCCGCGGGAGGCGCCCGTCGTCAGTGCCGCCCGCCCGCCCTCCTCCTCCTCCTCCTCCTCCTCCAACTCCTCCTCCTCCTCCTCCTCCTCCAACTCCTCCTCCTCCTCCTCCAACTTCTCCCCCTCCTCCACCTCCTCCTCCTCCAACTCCTCCTCCTCCAAATCCCTCCACCTCCAACTTCTCCCCCGCCTCCTCATCCCTCCTTCTTCTCCTCTCCTCCCGCACTCCTCCCTCCTCTCCACTCCACTTCTCCCCTCCCTCCTCCCTCCCCTCCTACCCCACCTGCCCCCTCCTCCATTCCTTTTACCAAGAACTTCTCCCTGTCGCCCTCCTCCTCCTCCTCCTCTTCCTCCTCCTCCTCCTCCCCCTCTTCCTCCTCCAACTCTCAAGCAGTGGCGAAGCGTCCTGGCGTGCCTATAGCCCCACCAAACAATGGTCTAAGAACCTCTTGTGGTTTCCACGAAACGTTCTTTGAGCAGTTCTGGCCGGGACCGTCTTGGTGCAGCGCACCGGGTGTATGTTCTAAGAAACTTGTTCTTGTCATTCGAACATTTGTGGGTTCTACGAACAGTTCGTGGTAGGACTATAGGAATGCCGGGACGTTCGGTCCCTGCTCACAACTCCTCCGCCTCCCCCTCCTCCTTTCCTGTTGCCTTATAAAGAACTCCTCCCTGTCGCACCCCGAGGCCAGGTTTTAGGGCGGGCCAGGCGTTTCGCCTGAGACTCACCATTTATGACCCTGAAGCTTAACAGTTGGCAACAGCTTCGCAGATGGAGGGCGGGTCATTCTCAAAAAGAGGCTCGCGCCTTGGTGCGGCGCACATTCGTTTGAGACATTGCAAGAGTTTAACGGATTGAGGGCGGTTCCTTTTCAACATGCGGTTCTCGTTTTAGCGCGGTGCACATTCGTGTTTAACATTTGAAAGAATTTCATGTGTTTCCTACATCAACGTACCAGAAATGGTGTTGTGAAAGGATTCAGGATTATGCGGCTGCAGCAGTAATGTTCATTCGCTGTGTTGAAATCAGAAATGGTGTTCTGGCACGACTCAACAGGAGGAGGAAGCGAGGAGCGGGAGGAGAAAGCGAGGAGGAAGCGAGGAGCGGGAGCGAGAAAGCAGGAGCAAGAGGCACAGTCAATGGTGATCGTTCTCTTATTAATTGTCTTGCCAAGCCCTCGCACTCCACCCCCTCCGCCCCCCCATGGAGTGTATGCTGGCTGTTGTTTGGCGCCTGTTTCGAGCAGGCGGGGTCTCCCCCAGAGGCCGCACCCTGGCAAACAGTCGCATTAAGCAAGAGGTCTGGAGCCAGACCCACCCCACCGCCCAATGCCGAAACGCCAAATAAAACGCTCACCAAAGCCCGAAGAACAGTAAGGTGAGGACGGCATGGAGGACAGATGGCGAAGCGAACGTCGGACGGGCCAGGACGAAGCTAAAGTCCGTTCCAGGGCGCTCCGGAACGCTCTCTATAGAGAAGGTTCCGGAACGCTACGAGAAGGCCGCGGCGCCCGATTCATTGCCTCCAGAACCGCTGGATCTCAGAAATTTGTCGTTTATCCCCACTCGACTTCTCTCCTCGCCCTTGCTCCGCCCTGCAGTCGGCCCGGATTAGTAGGTCGACCCTGCCAGCTCAAGGGTACCCTCGTGTCCTGTGCCTCGCGACGCGTGCCTCCATGCATTCCTATTGCAATTTTGGCCCTCGGAAGGGTCTTGTGTCCTCTCGCGTCTCCTGTCCAATCAAGGCCAACTGTATCCCCCATCTTTTCTCTCGTCTCTTCCTTCCCCGATTCTCCGCCTAATTCGTTCGTTCCCTTAACACCCCCTCCTCTTCTTCTTTCCGCGTGGATAAACTAACCCCAGGAAGCATTTAAGAAACCCCGCCCCCCCCCTACGGCAAATCGATAACCCTTCCGCACCCTGGAAGCGTTACCTGATGATGATAAGCATGTTACCTGATGATGATAAGCATGATGATGATGATGATGGATGCTAAAGCTATCGTTCGGTTCTTTCGGCCCCTCGGAATATCGAATAAAAAAAATGCGGTGCTACGCTATCGCCGGGGGGGTTCTTAAGTGCTTCCTGGGGTTAAGCCTCGGCCTCTGTCGCACTGGACGGCGCGTCCACCGCGCCCCGCGGCGGCGCCGCCCCGCGCGGAGAGGCGGCGCCGCGGCCCCGCTGGCGCCCGCGGCGCCCTCCGCCCCGCCGGCGCCCCGGGGCAGCCCGGGAGGCCGCCGCGCCCTGTCGGCCGCGTGCGCCGCGGCGGCCCCGCGCACGGCGGCGGCGGCGGCGTCGTCGTCGTCGTCGTCGTCGTCGTCGCCGTCGCCGTCGTCGTCGTCGTCGACGTCGTCGTCGTCTCGCGTCTCGCCTCCTCCTGTTCCTCCTCCTCCCTCCTCCCTCTCCTCCTACCCGCCTCCCCACTCACAATCACGCAGTACGAGTACTACGCTCCTCTCTCCCCTGGCGGCGTCCGGGAAGTGGTCGCCCCCTCTGCGCGTACTGGTTGTTTTCGCAGGATTCCGGGGACACGGGTTTTTATGTTAGTTTGTTTGTCAAAATGTTGTTCTCGCTGAAGCGGTGGCCTCATTTTTGGGCTACCGCTCGTTCCGAACGGTGCTCCCGGTGCAGCGTTGGCCTCATTTCCGCGCTTCCGCTCGTTCCGAACGGTGCTCCATGCCGGTGCCCTGCCCCGGCACGGTTTTCGGTCCTTCCAATTGGCTCCAAAATCTAAAAAATAGTTACCCCCCCCAAAGAAACCATCAGAAATGATTCCACATTCGGCGTCGATTCGTTAATTTTTGGGGCCGTGGAAGCTCTCCCCCCTCTTTGGGGCGTCGCCACGCCATGCTATGTCAGTCTAGGCGTCCTCATTTCCGCGCTTCCTTTTTTGTTGTTCAGAATGCGGCTTCGCTGAAGCGCTGGCTTCATTTTCGGGCTACCGCTCGTTCCGAATCGTGCTCCCAGTGCAGCGTTGGCCTCATTTCCGCGCTTCCGCCCTTCCCTAATCGTGCTCCCGCTGCAGCGTTGGCGTCATTATTTCTGGTGCGCTGCCACGGCATGGTTGTTGGTCCTTCCAAACCGGCCCCAAATCTTAGAACATGGCTCCCCGAAGAAACTATCAGAAGTGATTCCACATTCGGTGTCGATTCTTTCATTTTTTGGGCCGCAGAAGCCCCCCCCCCTCCCCCACTTTGGGCCGTCGCCACGCCATGCTATGTCATGCTACGCGTTGATCTTCAACACCGTGCTATGCCCTGTAATGCCATGCCATGCTACGACATCTGATTGTGCGAATAGAGAGGAGATCTACACTTAAGTCGGGCCTGTCCCCCTACAGAGGGATTTCGACGAAAAACAAAAAATACCCCAAACATAATCCAAACATAGTCTGGGGACTATGCTTTGAGTATTTGTGGACCTTCTTGGGGTACGTTTGTTTTTTGGTTTCATTTGTCGTCGAACATCGCCCTGCGGGGGGAGAGGCCCGACAGAAATCTGCGCCACGGTAAGGGATGGGGGGGGAGGGCTAGGACTCAGGAGGGAAAAAAACACACAGACACAATTAATCGGCGACTCCCAGAAAATATGGGAAAATATGGGAAGTGGGGGGCGAGACAAAAACCCCAAAAATATAGGAAAATATGGGGAATCTTTTTATTTGTGTGTATTTATTTGTGTGTCCCAGTTCCCCTTCAAGGACGTCAGACATGACGCGAGCGCACCCCAGCCTTGCCTCTCCTCCCTCCCCCGCGGAGTCCCGCCACTCGTGGCGCACGGCAGCCGCGAGCGGCCCCTTCCGCCTCGGCCGCCGGCACGGGCGGGGTCCTGAGGGATGGAGTCTCCGGGGGCAGCGACAGGGGGGAGCGGAAAAGAGGGGGGTGATGACTAGGGGGGGGTGGATTTCATGGCGCGGGCCATGATTTTTCCTCAGATTTCAGGGCGCCTCTTCTGGTTTCATTACGTCCCTGGTCCCCCCGCTGGGCCGCGCACATGCCGCCGGTCATGATTTGCACACCCCCCTTTTGGACACCCCCCTGTTGGCCGCTCCCGAGACAGGGGGGACAGGCATATCAAGCAGTGGCGAAGCGTCCCAGCTCGCTCACAGCCCCACCAACAAAAAGTTCTGAGAACCTGTGGCGGTTCCCAGGACCTGTTCTTAGAACATGTCTGGCTGGGACTGTCTTGTTTTAACACATCGGGCTTATGTCCTAAGAACTTGGTTTTCGTTCTTAGAACATTGTTCGGTTCTAAGAACATTTCGTGGTATGACTGTAGGAGTGCCAGGACGGTCGGTCCCTGTTCAAGCATAGCAGAGGATGGATGGATCGACCCCCGAATCGCACAGTGGTCGCCGATGGGGGCCCGGTAGCCCCAGCTTGCCCGGAGATGTCCAGATTTGCCTTGAGTCGGGCCTGTCCCTCTACTGGGGGAATATACAAAAATAGTTTAGAAATAGTCTGGGGATTTTTTTTGTATTTTTGGGCATCTTTTGATAATTGTTTTTAGTATTTTTAATCCGTAAGGGCTTCGCCCCCTGCCGCCGGCCCCCTCTCTATCAGAATGGGATACACCAGAGCTATATTGGGATGTTCGGGCGCCGTCTTGATGACATTCGGGAACGTCATGCTAGGGCGGCTGGCGATGAGCAAAACAGATTAAGATGTTGAAGTTGTTGTTGAACGCTTTGTTGCCTTCTTGGCATGTTCCTCCAGTTGTTCACTGAAAGCGCTCTGGGAACGGCTGGGGATTGCTCCAGGCAATCTCTGGGAAGGTTATTTTTCTGCTCTGGAGAAGGAGTGGCGCCTTTGGGCAGCTTCCGCGAGGTGGATTCGTAGCGTGGGGGGTGCGCGCGAATTTGGTGTAATTTGCTGGTGATCGTGGCCTCGGGGACGCGAACGTGGCGTAATTTACGAGGGATCGTGGCCTGGTGGGCGCGACAGCGGCGTAATTTACGAGGGATCGTTGCCTCGGTGGCGCGACTGTGGCGTAATTCACGTGGGATCGTGGCCTCGGGGGCGCAAATATTGCGTAACTTACGAGGGATCGTGGCCTGGAAGGGCCAAATTGGAACCCACCACCGAATTTTCCAGAAACGGAGGGGGGGGCAAAAGAATACCAGCGGAGCACATATCCCAATACAGCGAATTGCCGTTTTCCTGCTTTGGAGAGGGGGAGCGCCTTTTCGGCAGCCTCCGCAAGGCGGATTCGTGGCCTCGGGGGCGCGCCCGGTGCGTAATTTACTAGGGATCGTGGCGTCAGGGGCGCCAATTTGTCGTAAGTTACAAGGGATCGTGGCATCGGGGGCGCGACAATTATTTAAATTACTCGGGATCGTAGCTTCGAGGGCGCGAATGTAGTGTAAATTACGAGGGATCGTGGTCTAGTGGGCGCGAATGTGGAGTAATGTACGGTGCATCGTGGCCTCGGAGACGCAAATGTGGCGTAATTTTAAAGGGATCGTGGCCTCGGAGACGCGAAGGTGGCGTAATTTGCGAGGGATCGTGGCCTCTGGGACGCGAATACAGAGTAATTTGAAAGGGATTCTGGCTTCGGGGGCACGCAACTCCTTTATTTTTACGTGTCCCACGCCCCCCCAGAAATTCTGAGAACCTTCCGGGGGGACTCTAACCAGGCCCGACCTAATAATAGATGCCTCCCAGATGGGGTCCGAGTAGAATGGGGACAGAAGATTTCGCCGCATCGTCGATGCGGCTCGATGTGGAGCCCCAGTTTTTCCGCGCCAGCGTCGCCGATGCACCGTCGACGTCGCCGACGTGTCGCCGATGCATCGCCGCTGCATCGGCATTGCGGCGAGATCCTCCGACTCCGTCTATGCGGACCCCAATCTTTTTCCCGAACGTTCTCAGATCATTCCGAAACGCTCCTGAACGGCCGCGGCGCCCGACCCAATCCGCCGGTTGTCAGAGATCCCCGATTCAATCTTTGTTCGATTGGCCATCCGTGCTGCCTCCCTCCCACGAGACATGGGGCTGCCCGACAGCACCTGGGGCGCCACCCAGACATCTGGCGCCTCGATTATTTCGAGGCACGGGCCCCCGACCTCTCGACCGCTTCCCCGGGACCAGTCTTTCATCGCGTGTCGTTTTCTGACGGCCCCGAGGCCCAGCAGAATCGCCCCGATAGGCCGACACCAGGAAGAGACGCCAGGATGTCTGTGCAGGAGCAGTGATCGGACGAGGCCAGGACGAGGACACCCGTTCCAGAGCTTTACGGAGCGCTCTCAGAGCATTCCGGAACGCTCTGAGAAGGCCGCGGCGCCCGACACATCTTCCAGAGCCGCCGCATCTTAGAGATTCCCGATTCACTTCAGTTCCGAATTTGTCCTCACCCTGGCTTCATCTTCGGGGAGCGCCGTGGCGGCCGTGACCCCCTCCCTCCCCTCATGGGGCAACGAACGCTAGTGGGGGTCGGCATATGGGGGAAAGCGTCGACTCCCAATCGCCCACGGATCGCCAGTAGGTGCCCGAGAGCCCCAACCTGCCCAGGAACGTGCGGATTCACGATCGGGGGCCGATGGCCGATTCATCGGCGATGTATCGCCGATTCCAGGTCGATGTTTCCGTTCGTCCTCGAAGGTGGATGGACCTCTTACCCTGACACGTCGATTAAGGAATTGGCCGTTTTCGGTTCGCGAGAGGGCGTCGCGGCCGTCGTTTTTGCGGGTCCAGGTCCGTCGGTTTCGGTCCCAGGCCGTTTTCACTAAGGGGAGGTTTACTCAAGGGAGGTTTGTCCACCGCCGAAGGCACCCCCTGTCACAGGAGGGAGAAGAACACACGGACACAAACCGACCTCGATCCCCAGAAGAACGCGGGGAACGGATGGGAAGTGGAGGGGAAGACGACCTCCCAGCAGCTACCTAAGTGAGTACAGTGCCTTTTTTGATACATGCTCCGCGTGCGGATCATGTGTTACAAATGCGGGGATTTAGCATAAAAAAAACATCGAGGAGCTCATGCACAAATTTATCCATACATCAATCATGTCTTAAAAAAAAACCCTAGATGCCTAGAAATCTTATGTATTAAGAAAAGCTGCCCTGTACATGGGGAGTCCTGGGCTGTCTGCCTCTTTACTTGCGTGCCCCTGGGCGCCTCGACGGCCCGCCCCTCCGCCCGCCCGCAGGCGGGGACGCGGGCGCCGACGCAGGCGGAGGCCCCGGCGACCCCCCGCGGGGCCGCGCGGAGCCCGTGTGGTTCTGGACGCCCGGAATGGGCACGGAAAGAGTGGGCACAATGCTTAACAGCAGATGTTGTCCC